TATACGCGGCACAAAAGTTCGAACTTGAAGCGTGCATACACACACACACACACACACACCCTCCCTCCCCGTTTCCCCCCCCCGCGGTCGAATCAATTTTCGGCAACGGCCGTAATGGCCGACGGGGCGGGGAGGGGAAGATTTCGAGGCCGGTGGCCACCGGCCAACCGTGTTGCCGATTTCTGCCCGAGAGAGCCCAGGCCTTTCCACCTGATGAACACGCACGCAGGGCTGTGCTCTTCGATGCCCGCCGCGATACGTCGGGGGAAGGAGGTGGATGTGTGTGTGTGTGTGTGTGTGTGTGTGTGTGTGTGTGTGTACGTTATTACTGTACGTGCGATGGTCGTCGTTAATGACACGTGTTCGATTCGATGGTGACGGGTCGATGAATAATTGGATTGGGCAAGTTGGTGGACGTGTGAGGGGGGGATGGTGGAAGACGAGGTGACGATTTGATCGGGTGGATACGGATATGGCAAAGTTTTTTGCAGTTTTTTTCAGAGAGGTGAAGTGTTTGAGAGGATCTATTTTTTTTTTTTTTTGGAGAGATGTTTATTATTGTAAGGAATTATTGTATTATCGAGTCGAAATGTATTTGTTCTCGCATTTCTGATTAATTTTTTGATAAACGCAAATGGATATTGGAAAATATATGTTGTTCAATTTGTTTTAAAACCGGTATTTCACAGATTTGATTCTTCCTAAGGGATTATACATTCGGGACGAGTTTAACGTCGCCAATTAATTCGGATAATTCTACTGTATTATCAACACTTTTCCACTTTTCGAATACCAGTTTTTATTGGCCACGTTTATTCCATCCCCTAATACGCAATTATACGAAGCCAATATTTATTTGTAGGGATTTCAATCGATGATAGTTATCGATTATCAATTATTTACTTTTTTCGATTTCGTCCGAGGAAATTAATAAATAAAATGTATAAATTAAAAAAACGCGGTAATCGTACAATTTTTATCTTCGACGATTATCAAATTGTAACTAAAATATACATGGTTCTTCCGTGGTTGAAGTGTAATTTTCACGTTTCGAATTTCAACTTTTTTCAACTTGCGTTAATTTTGCGATTGTCTCGCGTTAAACATTTGGATTCAACTTCTCCGCAACGCACTTGGCGAAAAGAATGCTTGAAAAATTCCCTTCGAGGGGAGTTTGAAAAATCAACAGAAATCGAATCGAACTCGACAGCTGTTCAACGACCAGCTCCGAGTGAATTCGAATTCTCAAAGTTGAAACACTGGATTGGAATAGACGTCAGTAATATTCGCAATTCGTTATTGTCAACGACAAATCTTTCTGCCGTTGAACGTAACGATACACTTCACTTGACAACCGGGTCGTGAAATGAGAAGAGTATGGGGAGAAAAACAATTTTTTTTCTCTCCCTTTTGAAATATATATATATATACTTTTTCCTCCTTTATTTTTATTTTTCCTCCCTTCTTTTTTTCTTTTTTTTTTTCCTTTTTCTCTAAATCGGCACAACGTTACGATTCGCGACGAATATTGTTGACAGTGATGAATATTCCTCTGATATTGGATGTAACGGTAGCACTTCGGCTGACAACTGGGTCGTGAAGTGAAAACGGTAAGGAAGGATCGCGATTCTTTTCGTTTTAGATATTTTAGAACGGATAGAAAATGTATCTGTTTCCAATAAAATGAGATATTATCGCGTTTACTCGTGTTGAGTGCGATATAGGTTCTCTTTTATATAATGCAATACGTTCTCTGGTTACATTTATTCTCGTGATATTTGTTTTTCTTTTTTTTTTTCCTTTTTAACCGAAAGAATTCTGCAAAAAGATTAAATATAGATTTTATTTCCTTATTACGATCACTACACTTTAGGATTATTCATGAAATATTGGAACCAAAAAAGTTCCAAATTTTAATACATTGCACTCAAATAATTCAAGTAAAATAATGTAAAGAATGTCTAATTATTTTTTATCTTCTATTAAAAAATATAATTTAAGTTATTAATAAAATAATGTAAATCTTTTTTATTTAACAAAATTTGATTGAATTGTTATACTCTCCTGTGATAATGTTATCAATGAAATATAAGGTGGTATAAATATGTGCAAAATATTCGAGGAATATAACTCGTTATTTCATGTCCAATTGATCTTTAAAAGCCACTTGTTTATGAATAACGTTACAAGTGGCCTTCTCTTTTGTATTTTCAATACATACTTCAACTATTACTTGATAAATTTCAGACAAAGAATACACTCCTTCAAATTTAAGATTTTTACTATCTAAAGTACAGAGTATGCTTAAAGAAAA